TGAAGGGTGCTTTTGTGTTAAATCTGTTGTTTTGCTATGCTATCCAAACAGGAAATGTAAACATTCATCAGTGAGTTGAGACTTAAGGATGTAGCTTCCGTAGGAAATCCTATAACTGTGCCAAATCGTTCTGTCCAGGGAGGAATATGCCATGCAGGTTGTGGTCTTTATCTCATCTTACGTACAGCTGCCTTCTATTGCTTACTTGTGTTGACTGGGGGAGGGAAGGGGTTTTAAATATGGTAAAGTGATGGAAGATAGAACCTATGAATCTGGGTCCTGCATGGTTGGAGTGGCAGGGACAGAAACATTGGTGTGAGCTCATGTGAATTTAAACAGAAACTGAGAGTGGTCTGGAGCACTGTTTAAACAAGCTATGCAAACTGAAAGATTCTTGGTTTGGAGTTTGGGATTTCTTCTGTGTAAAATGGGCCCTCCTCCAGCGTGGCAGCTGACAGAGTAAAGGAATAGCTTATTCTGCTCTAATGGTATAGTGTGAAGCAATGCTATATGTTCTGGTTTTCCATGTGGTGTTGTGTGTTGTTTCAGAGGTTTCATTTTCAATACTGTGTTTCTTGGAAATTTGGAACCCTGACAGCTAGCTAGCAAGACCCATGGACTTCAGTTTTATCTTTTAGGAGTAACTCAAGTGAATATCCCCCCTTCAGCAGGGTTCCTTAGTACTGTACAGATTTCCTACCCGAGCAGCTGTAATTATTCAGAGATGCACATGAATGCAAATTCTTGCCTGTCACTCTGGAATGCAATGTTGATACTCAGAAGGGCTTGCTGGCAGTATATATTAAACAATTTTGGAGGAATGAAAATTCATTTTAGGCAAATTTTACGTGGTCGTTATGCTTCGCTGCTTAAGGTTAATCTCTGTGGAGCTAGTCCAGTAATATGAATAGGAAGCACTGAAATATTTGAAGTAGAATGTGTTTGCTTTACTTATGGATTCAGTGTTATGCAATCATAGCTTATTAAAATAACTATAGAATCTGTGAGTAATTGTTTGTATGGAAGTGGAGTACATAACCCTGTGATAAGAAAGTCCCACAGGAGCTTTTGTATACAGAAAGATTATGCTGTGTAGGAATGCTGAGAACATGGAGGCAGTGAAATGATAATTAGTTAAGTAGAAGGGTTGTATTTTCCTAAAAGTACAACATTCATATGGAAATAGCTGTTCTGTTGGAAACCTTGTTTTGCAGAATGGTGTTAATTATATTTCACTGAATTGTTGTTTGGAGTCCATATCACTCCTTGCCCATATTAGCGTTTCATGGTTATACAAGACATAGGATCTGAAAAGACTGTTTCAGACACCACATTCATGTTGTTCCAGTTGACAGAATCACAGAATGGTTGAGGCTGGAAGGGACCACTGGAGCTCATCTAGTCCAACCTCCCTGTTCAAGCAAGGTCACTTAAAGCACATTACTTGGGACTGTGTTCAGATGGCTCCGGGAAAGAGACTTCTGGACCTCTCTGGGCAACCTATTCCAATGCTCAATCACCATCACAGTAAAGAAGTTGTTCATGTTCAGGTGGAACCTCCTGCATCTTAGTTCATGCCCACTGCATCTTGTCCTACTGCCTGGCACCACCAAGAAGAGTCTAGCCAGTTGTCAGACTCATGAAGGCGTAAGAACTATTATTTTTCCCATATAATTCTGCCTGCAGACATTTGACTCTCCAATGGACTTTTTAAATCTGTGTTTCCCAGCAGCGGGGATGCTGTAGAACTACCTTGTCTCTTAAGTAGCTTTATTTTTAATATGGTGAGGTGATTTCCCACCACCACCACCCCCCTAGCTGTTCCTGAAGTGCTACACAATATGGACCTGGTGGTGCTGGTAAAGATGAGCGTGAGTCAGCAGTGTGCTCTTCCAGGGAAGAAGGCCAAGCCAAT